TTCTTTCAGTAGGATTCGAACCGACGATCCCACTGACTCAGCCAGTTTTGCATAAAAATTTATTATCAAATTTGAGTCTCGGTGAAGAAAGAACGCGATTGGTATGTATCACTTAGTTGTAGAACATTTCCTTCGTAGTGAATATTTCCATGAAAATTTTCATCAATAACTGTTATATTCGGTCCCTGGAAAATACCATTTTACAGAGGTTCATTTTTCGTGTAAACTAGAGTAATTATAATACGTTGTATTATAATTTTACAAACATTCATTATAACAAGCAATTTTTAAGCAAACAAGTAATTTTTAAGCAAAAAACAAAACCGACTTCAATTCTAATATAAAAATTTAAGATTATCGTTAATTTCTTCATGATCCGATTATCGGATTTAAACCAAATTAATATGGGACTACCGGTGAGATTACACCTTTCCTTTAAAAAAAGAACTATAGAAATCGGTTAACATGGTCCAAAGTTATGCCGTAACATACCTACATTAAAAAATAAATAAATAAAATATTCCGACGAACTGATAACCTTCTCCTTTTTGTGAAGTCGGTTAAAAAGATTAATACCAATGAAGAAAATGTGATTTATATTCAAAGTTTACATACATACATACATATGTATGTATTTGCATACGCAGTATAAAAATAACAAAGAAAATATATGTATCTACGTATATTTTTTGAATTATTAATCCAATTTCTAAACTTATAGACATATATACATATGTAGGTATATTTTTTGAAAATCTTCCTGCATTTTCAGTTCATATTTATGGTCACCGTAATCATTTATATATGGTATTTATTTATGGTCACCGTAATAATGCATTTGTATGTACATACATAAAAATATAACTCATTTTTGATTTTGGCATATATAGAAACTGATCCCGAGGTTGTTAAGTCAACAAATCAATATGTCACGGTGGAAAATCTACGCAAATACACCAACTACACGGTTTGGGTGATTGCTTACACCAAAGTGGGCGATGGAATGAAGACGAAATCATTTTATTGTCGTACACATGAAGATGGTAAGCGTTGTGAGAGCTTTATTGACACTTTTTTACGCATTGTAAATGTTTGTGAAAAGTTTTAGTTAATAATAATAAACTTTCTTTTTAGTTCCTTCTGCACCACAGGCTATTAAAGCAATACCAGCCTCCAGCACAAAAATAATTGTATCATGGCTACCGCCGGAATTTCCTAATGGAGACATTGTATGGTTAATGTTTCAATAATAACTGTATCACATAAAAATTTATTTTTTTTCAATTTCTTCTAGATCGGTTACACTTTCTATATGTCAATGCTTGAAGGTGGTCGCGAAGAAGGTACCCACAAACGTATTCTTGGGCCTTTTGTCGAAATGCATGAGACGCAGCGGACACAAGAATCGGCTACATATCAGTTTTGGCTTACAGCCGCAACAAAGATTGGTGAGGGTGAGAAAACTCAGGTTGTGACGGTGCCCCCGAACAACAAAGT